CGTTTAAGAAATGTTAGTATCATGTACGTCATATAATTTCCCACGATAGAGTGGGCATCTCCTACATAATATACTCACATAAAAACCGATTTGATTCGTACTAATTTTGACATGGTCGCAAAAATATTGTTGCAATAATTTAACGAAATAATTATTTTTAAGTGTATGCCAATTCTATATACATCCGGTCGCATTGAAACTCAGCTATCTAATAATTTGGCCAAACAATGCAACGACTAAATATGTATGTACATTGTATATCGCATTGTAGTTGCTTAAAAGTTGTCTTTGTTTCCGTTATTAAATATTATATACGCACAACACGACGAAACGTTAACAAATATGAAATTTCGTTTACAATATAATATAATTTACCAATACTAATTGCTGAAGCGTAGAAGTATGTGCATAGTAATTCGAGACTAGTATTTATCATTGATAATACATGTATTATTCGTGTCTTTTTCAATCGCGTGGTCAGGTGTCCGTAATAAATGTAGAGGTAAAATAATTTTAAGCGCGATGACGTGTATAGTTATTAACGGCTCGACGACAACAACAATTGGATAGTCGGTTTAATTACTATTTGCGATTGGGTCTAGGATATAAAATCCATTATAACGCTTGCATATATAGTCGGTAGCGTACTGTTGTAACTATTCTAGTCGTGCAGCCAATTGCCAAACACTCCACGAACGATAAAAAATAATTAGTATACATGTAAGACAAATTTAAACGCATGGGATATAAATTTAACGAAGTAAAATCGACCATGACGATATTAGTAATAATGTTTATGATATTGAGCAGTTTATAATGTCATTCTCATTATATCATATTATACGTGGTGGTCCTACACTCTATACGCATATATATATATTTATATATATGTATAAAATATATTATATGTATTTATTATAAATCTTTAATAGTCGTAAACCGATTTTCGTGACCTCGAAAACCTTTTGTGATGCGGTTTAAGAACGTCGCATGTACGTGGGTTCTCAAGGAAAACTCTGGTTGATTGTGTGGTTTTCTCAAAAATATCTATTGTGTATCGTTTATAAAGGAGTGTCTGCGCAGCCAGACGAGTGAGTGTGTCCTTTATGGGAGTTTTCGGATTTATCGAGGATTATGCGATGAAAATCGCGTGAACTGCACCACTATGTTATGATTTGTCCGATTCGCCCTTTGCCCTCTTCCAGTCGTTAACATTTTGTAAGCTTAAGTGGCAGTTACTTATTGGCTATTGCAAATGGATATAAAAATTCAAAAATAAAAAAAAAAAAAATTCGCGTTGGTAAATAAATAACATAATGTTTACCATTTTTATTTATAGAATAAAGTTAACTAGGTCTTATTAGATCATAAAATGTGTACTTAACATATGTTATTCCAAATAATTTTATCTCTGTGGTGTGTAATAGGCAGTTACATAACAATATTATAATATCTTACAATTCTTGTAAATGAACCTATATATATATATATATATATATATATATGTTTATATTTATATTTATATATATGAGTTTATTTATAGTTTTATGTGTTATATACGGTAGAACTTTGATTATCTGAACTAATTGGGACCACAACGAGTTCTGGTAGGCGAAAGTTCGGATAATAGATATTAAAAAAAAATAATTATTACAATGAACATACAATTATTATTATATACTCGTATTATTGACTTATTATACTTATTATTACACATTGCATATAATTTTATTAATTATTTCGAATAATGTATTCAGTGCTGGATTAAACATTTGTGAGTCTCTAGGCAATTAACAAAATTATTTCTTACATACATCTTTAACATTACTATCCAATAATTAAAATAAACAGCTTTAATAATAACCAAATATTAATTAATAAATAAAATCATGTTTATTGAATTTTTTTATTTGCAAGAAAAAATTAATTAATAATTATATTATTTATTTTTTTCAAAATAATGTTATTATTATTACTGCATGTAACACCTACAACTTAATGTGTATTATATTTCATAATGACTTTTGTTCCATAAATTCGTAAATAAAATACAGGTATTGTTAAATAAAAAAAAAATATTGTTTTCCATTTTCACAGGGCCCCTTAAATTAGTAAAGCTCTAAGGCGGGCACCTACTTCACCTAATGGGTAATTCGGCACTGAATGTATTATTATTATTTTTTGACAAATTAATCAATTTTTGTTTTTGTTTTTTTGCTTCTACGCGCTTTTACGCAGCTAAATCTCGCAAACGTTTTAATAGAAGTATACTTATTACAATTATTATTGTGCTGAGCAACATTCATCCTGTCTCTCAAACCGCTCAAGACCAGTCTCAAATGTAGCAAATGCGGTTTTTCATAATATCCGAAACTGTTGCTTCGCTGTTGTTAAAATCACGAGTTAAAGAAACGCTGATTTTACCTTTGTTTAGTTATGCAAGAATTTCTGTTTTTTTGTTCCATTGTAAGAGCGTTACGTTTATGTTTATTCGACGCTTAAGTTGATTCCATTTTATAAAAAAAAAAAATAGTATAATAGTATATATTATACGTGTGTATACTGTGTATAAAGATGTGTACACTTCAGTAAATGAAGCATGACTGAAAATAAGATATCACGATAACATTTTTTAACCAGGTAGAATTAAAATATATTTATATACATTTGTAATACAAAAATAATATGAATGTCCAGTATATAATATGTATTGATTAGCTAATCGCACATGGACGTCGTTAAGATAAACGTACCTACTAATAATAAACTGCGACCCGGCGTGTGCGTCGTGATATTTTACGCATTGACGTTCGGATACACGAATTCAAACGAAATAACGTTTGAATAATAGAAGGTTCGTATTACGGAGGTTCGGATAATCGAGGTTCTACTGTATATGCTTCATAATATATATAAACTTCTATATACTCGTATGTCCTTTGCGGTAAACATCATAATATAGCCAGCGTGAAATGCGTCCTTCCTTCACTCTGACCTATCTCTTACACTGTTTCGATCACATAATAATAATATGTATACATGTATATACAGTGAAGTGTAATATGCAAACCATCATCGAGAACGTACATTCTATCATCATCGCTAATACATTTCGGATCATATGATACATATTAACGTTGTCAGTGCATTTATTATTCAAAAAGAATACTCTCATGTAAGCCCTTAAAAAAGGTCATTTTACCTGCAGAAACTTCAATACAATAACGGTCCATTTCCTTTGTAAATAAGCATTACTCTTACAACTAAAAAAAAAAAAAAATTGTATGTTTCGCGTATATTCCACTACATACATTTCAATATTTCGTTTGTTTCTTTTTTTCGTTCATGCGCTCGATAATAATAATAATAATATACATTAATTATCACAAACATAGTATCTTGGGTATGCATTTACGCTTTTGAATGTTCCTAAGTAACGTGCACGCGATATTTCGTTATTTTAAATTACTTGTGCTGCATTGCACTGTATTATTGTACATATGGCTGTTTTGTAAATAAATGAAAATTGTATAAGCCCGCATACGTTGGCTTGTAACATGTATTATGTTGTGAATTAAACCAACTAAACGAATTTAGGCCTGTACTTTAAATATTTGTTTAGCTCATCAATAGTAAGGACCGTCAAACAATGGTCAGTATAAATCGATTAAACACGCTACACAAAAATCTCTCACGATATGACGATCTCACGATGATGTACCAACTATTCGAAAAAATTGAAAATACACGTGTTATATCCGGTAATATGTGTGGCACTGTAGTAATTTATTGAATAATATGTATCTACAAGAGACGGTGGAGCATACATAGTCGTGGGAAAAATTGATCTTTTTGTGAACATTATTTTTTTTAAGACTGAAAAAAAAAATCACAGTTTATTTAAAATTACGTTGTTTTGCTTTGCTTTACTTTTTTTCTCAAAGTACCAATAGTATATAGTTTTATACTCAAACAACTATGGAACAAATGGAATGAAACATATTTTTTTTCGCTTACATACGGACACCGTTTCTTAATGGAACACCTTTGTTGTAGATCAACATATACGCAATACACAATGCGATTTACAATACGAGCTTCATGTTATTTGTATTATTATGTTGTTTATTTTGTTTTTTACTTATCAAATACGATCGAGAATTACCATGTATTCTCGCATTGTTATTCCGTTAATATAATGCGTAAACATAGCGTGCATTTATTTTTCGTTTTATTTTGAAATTAGTGTATAAGATGATGTGAAGATAAAGTTCATGGTTTACAGACCAATAAATAACACCTCGTATATCACACGAAGTTGTTTATTCGCATAAGTTGAAAACGGAGAAGCTATATTATTTACGATTTCAGTCAGACGAAATATTTCAAAATAAAAGTTTTCGGAAGGCCATAAATAATATCCAAACATGGCGGACTTTGGATAGCAGCCGTTTTGTTTCAAGAGTTTTTTTTTCTTCTTAAACTTAAAATATGACTCCGAAATTAAGTGTGTTATTGAATACTCAGATGTTTTGATAGTGTTCACTAGCTTATATGTGAGTCTTTTCTAGATCCATTATTATTAACTATATATGTTCCGTGTTATCATGTTATCCTTTATTGTTATGGCTGTCATATCCAACAAAAAAAATCCTGTATGAACCGAGCTAATGCATTTTAAAACGTGTATGCGTGGGACGAAATAATGAATAATGGTTTTTATAATATTATAAGACAAGCTCATTCGTTGATTGAGTTGTTAAAATAATATCTCCCTCCCCCGTTCCGGCAATGCATTATCATTTGTATTATTAAAATTTAATTTAATGAAACTACGTTTGTTAAAATATGTTAAAACAAAACGGTAACGAACATCATGAGAATAATTTTGCTAAATCGTTGTTTTTGTAATATATAGTGTGATTTATACTCACACACACACAAACACCTGAATATTTCAATTTAATCATCATATTGACATGTGTTTTAATTATTTACAGGCGACAGCAGTCTGACGGACAACTTTATTGTCAACATGTTCGAACATGTGCCACCACTGGTCATCACAAAACCAAAGTAAGTGTTATTTATAGTTAAAATCAACCGACCTAATATTATTTAAAAAAAATATCAACAACTAAAATACGAATACAAGTATGCAAAATTGTGATTTAGTTTGTATATTCGCCGAATATTTAAAACTTAATTTAATTTTTGAACAATACATTCACATAATGCTATATATATATTTACAGTTGTACCTGATATAAATTGAATGTCCTGCGAATTATTTGATACTTAATTATTGATAAAATTATTATTTTGTTTTTATTGTAATAATTCATACTGGTTCTTGGATAGTTTTAAATGAACTATAGTTCTTATATAAAACGTATTACATATAACTATATATAGCAAACGTCACTTCAATGTTTAATATATTTTGTCTTGTTTATGCTTTCAGGATTAAATTTTTTTTCTTTTCATAATAATAATGTTTTTAAAACTTCATTAAACCGGCTACGAACTCATCTAGCCACGGTTTACAGATTATAAACATGTATAATAAAAAACCACCGCGTGCAGTTTTCGCGATACTCTACGTACCTACAATGCTGGTAATCGATAAATATTTTATTGTATCAACGCGTTTATATGAGTACCTACATAAAAGGGATGGCCATTGACGAATTGTTCGATTGGTAGCAAACAGTGATTTATATTTTTTTTTTATTGGTTTCGCTCTCACGTGACGATAGCCATTACAATTATTATAATCGGTTCAATAACTGCGACGCGCATGCGCTAATGAAAATGTATCGGAAAACGATATAAAGAATATATGGTTACGGTGGGGTGATTAATTTTGGTTATTTCGCAGTTCTGCCTCTCGTCGAACCAACTGTAGTAACACTATTACCCCAAATTATAAACGAAATAACAATAATCGGTGTAAGAGAGAAAAGGATATATGCATCCTGCGCAGGTGTGCCGAGCGACGGATAGGAACCGATGGGTATATCGCGGCCTTCGGACGTCGTTGAAGCGATCCAATATGCGCACGTGTGCCCGATGCGCGGTCGACTTCGCGTGCGAGTCTACTTACATGTGCAAACACACATGCACGCGTATACTCATATATATATATATATATATATATATATATATATATGTATGTATGAGACCCATTAGCAATGACCCGGTGGATTGTAATAATATTATGTACCGTGGTATATTAAACGTGTTTGCTTATCTCTGGCGGAGTTCGGGAGAGAGTAAATTACGAACGCGGGCACGCGCGTCCACATGCAGAAAATATGTGCGCTATTTGGTTGGACTTGTATTGTAGAACACGGTACTTGTTTGTCGTTTGCTCCACGATAGATTTACGTGACCAGATAAATATCGACGAAAATGGATAGATGAGAGAGAAAGAGAGAAAAAAGTGCAAATAAATAATAATAGCCGAGCTAGCTACATGTTCGATAGCTGTGCGATAGCCGGGTGTGCTGGTGAAACAGAGATGTTACTGTTATACGGTTTAGGTTATAATATTGATATTATACGAAGACGTACGCACTTACAACCGTCAAATCGATAAACGCGCTTTAAAACGGCCTACGTGTTCAAATGCGCATGTAAAAAAAAAAATTCAAATTTAAAAATCAAAATTTAAATGTATATGTTGAAGATATTACGCACATATCAGTGGCGGATCCATGGTGGGTGAAGTAGGGGGGGTAAACCTTCCAAAATCACAAAAAATTTACATTAAAAATCAATAATTTTATGAATTAAGAAAAAGATTTTTTTTTTTAAAAGTATGAGGGAAAATATATAATTTGTATTTTTATTCATACAAGAAATTAGTAGTCTAAGATTTAAATTAATGTATTATATTACTTACTATAATCTTAATTCATTACCAATCACTGACTGCAATGTTATAAAAAATATCCCAAGGGAAAACATTTTTCAAAACTACTCCCAAAAGAAAATTCGCGGATCCACCATTGGTACATACGGAACGTTTTCAATGTTCAATCGGTATGGAAATCCTGTTCACCATTGTTCTTGGGTGGAGGATACATTATACAATAGTGTTGTACACATTTTGTGTATGTGTTTGAGTTTAACGGCGACATAATTAAAATTTTAGTTTTAGTAGAGATATCAATTAACACGGGCGCAGTGCAACATTTAAACCCAATACCATTACACACACACACACATACACATTTGCATATATTAAAATATTCGGTTTAAAATCAATTATACTCTATCTATAGCTGTTGTATAATTATTATGATTTATATATATGTATATTGTAATGTGCCGTTCTGTTGTACGTAAAATACACAATAGCACATTGTCCTTTCAGAACGGACACGGATGGCTTTTGGTTCACAATATTCCGCAAGGTATTTGTGCCGCAATAAAATGTCGTTTCTCTGTTTAATATTTTTCTTTTTTAGTCGGTAATTTATATTACAACATTTTTCAAAGTTATAAAATCTATTGAAAAAAACTTTTTTGTTTATTGTACGAGGGTCTGAAATCACAAATTCGCAATGTATATAAATTTTTTTTTGTCACACGCATTTTTAACGCAAATGTATAAACTTTTCCCGCTATAGTTACAGATTAGACGAAGCGTTATTAATGTGATTTTATAAATCAGTGTATACTCGTGATCTTTTTTCTTACACATAAATATTTTTATACTTTTAAAATATTTTCAAATATTTCTCATTATCAATATTACAGCATTAATTTGAATAATTTATTTTTGATAAATTTTTATCCTATTCACATTAACTATATACGTACAGTATTCATTACATACACATAGGCACAGAAAGAGAGTTTGAGGTTATCCTTGCATACTATATATACATAAATATACACACATATACTCGTGACACTTTGATGCGTTTAAAAATGTCCTTTTGTGGTTGTGCGTTTTGATTTTCCTATGTTTTTATGTATATATTTTTATTTTATTTTTTTGTTTATTAATTCAAAACAAGATAAACCCAATAACAGTTTATATATAACAACATTTGTGGACTTAAATTTATTTAAATGAGTGAAAAAATAATAATAATAATAATAATTAAACAATATAAAATAATATTATAATATATATATTTATATATAATTTATATATAAATATATTCCAGAAACATTTCATAAAATGCATTGACGAATTTTGACAAAGCATTAAAAAATTATATTATCATGAATGAAATGATACGCAAAGTATACAATATACAAATTCCCTAGCCATTATACAATAATATATATTCAAAGTTGGATCATAGGTATGTTAAATCGATCAAATTAAAAATCAGAAAATTAAGGCATATACTTAATGCCTAATGTCCCTTAGATATAAATGGTAGCCTATATATATTCAATATAGGTATATTACAAAACCTGTGTATTGCATATATTATATATTTTACACGAGATATTGTATATCTAACATTGTGCGACGTATATGCGAACTTATGTCCACCACGCGCGTTCATTCGTTATTAAATAAATGTTAATGAAATAAGAAATTAGTTTTATCGGTTTTTATCCTCTAAATTCCCCTTCCTTCTCCGTCCTCGTTTTATATTATCGGCACATTATTAATATGTGCCGTACACGACCCACGTCCTTGTCGGCGGCGTTTCGTCATTGATAATTAATTCATTTTATGTTTCCTCCACCCCCCTTTACCGAAAAAACAATGACATAAATTACTTTGTAAAATCGGTTAGGGGATCATCATTGTACGTTTTAAACGCTCAACGATGTTGCTGTATGTATAATGTATTTCATATTGTATGCTTGAGTGGTAAATATGCAGCACTGAGATTTCGATTGCTGCCGACATCCGGTATAATTATTATTATTATTTTGTGAATGTGTGGCGACATAGAGTACTTGGAGCGCATAATAATTTTTTTTTCTTATATGAACGGGGTATAAAAAAGTAAATTATGGCGAATTGAATTGCACGTTAAGGCCCTCTTCTCGTCGTACGTATAATACAACAATATGTTTATTATTATTATTATTATTACGCATTAAATGTAGGTATAAAATATTAGTTTTGATCGGGCGAGATGCGTTTTCATTGTACACATTTACATCCGCAATCGGTGGCTCCTCTATAATATTATGTACAGGTTTTGATTGTTTCTCCCCCACCCCCATCCCCATAATGTGTTTTATACGTCACATTGACGTTGTTTAAATCGGTCGCGTACATGTGATATATTATATTGTTTCAATAAAAACATTTATTACTGTACCTATCGCTTCGCGTTTTCCGAACGACGAATTGTCGTCTGCGCTGCCGTCAACTGACAGATTGTCATGAATATCTTTCTTGACAAATTGATTTATTGTCATACGTCGATTTTATAACACACGCTATTAATATTATGCCATTATAACAGAGTACGTGTTTGCGACGTTACTACAAGATTTAGAGATTATTAAAAGACTGGATTCTGACTTAATTAAAATTTTAAATAAGTCGCAAAATGTATAACACTGTAATCAGACATCTTATTCTTCCTAACGACGACATTTTTAATCTCTCACAACTTAATTAATTATACCCGATTGTTAAAGTATAAATTGTACTAATATTTGATATAATAATATTGTAATCGGATACTTTCATTTTAAACTTCAGAACTTAAGCGTGTAGTCATTATACCTATATTTTATTTGAACCATTAATTTCCATCTTGTTATACAGTTAATGAAAGTCTCAATATTCTTCGTGTTGGATATTACACATTTTAACAACTTATAGTAGCGAGTTGACAAAATATAATAGGTTTGAAAATTAATGGCATGTTTTAACATTGAAAACACGAAAATTAAATCATGCACATATTTTAGGGAGTCTGTGATACAAATCCATAGGTATGTTAATGGAAGAATCGGATTCGACCGATTTAAATCGTTGTGGGAAACGTCAGAATTCGACGATTGTGCCAATTCGTGGTCGAATGAATTTTATTATGTGTACAAATGTACTTTTTGTAAGTAAATGCTGTGAATCCACACGATGCCGATGAAACGTAGTGAAAATCCTATTACACAATGTATTTTTCAATATTTCGTTGTATAATATCAATAATGAGGGCTTGATTTTATAGAATTCCATTTCGACGATTATTTTTACTAGACACACGCATGAGAATCAATATGGCATCTGTAAATTAGAAACTACATAATCTAAAACTGTTATAAGCCTTTAACGCATCCCAAAACGAACAACTCTGTCAAGTAATTATAGAGTTTGAATTGATATTTAATTTAATATTCGTTTAATGTCCCTACTAATCCGGAAATTTGAGTCTTGGCGGGAAATTGGTTTTCAAAATATAATCAATATGCATTAATATGTTTATGCATTAATATTTATATTCATAGGTACATGTTACCTAATAATACATATAAATCGATTTTTTTTCGTGTGTTTCAGTGTGCGACTCAAGATTTGTTTGAATTACTCGAAAGGGTCCAGAGTAATCGATTGGATGATCAAAGATGTGTTCTACCGCCGTACTTCGCTCAAGTAAGTAGTAATGTATTGATGAGATGCTATTTGATCCCTATCCTATGTAATTCACATACAGTTTTAACGCAATTTTTATTCATAAGAGTATTTTTTTTTAATTTTCTTCCTTCTTTCCCATTACCCACTTGTGTATATATGCCTCACAAAACAGTGTAATATAATCGGTGTAACAAAAATGTAACACGTTTGTTATCTTTAACTACATGAATGTTCCACTGACGTTCATTATATACTCTATAGTAACAGACACCAACTAAAATATTTAGTTTTGTCACGGCATCGAATATCACTATAATAATGTGTGTATAATAAGTAACAAATAAGACGTTGCAGTAACTCATTTAGCTTGTGGTCTAACTAAATTAAGTGATTTTAGTAAAAACAAAAATGTGTTTTTCAGTTACCGCTTATACTCTGTATATTATTACAATATTATATAGGGAGCGTTACTTCAGGTATCATTTTCTTAATTTACATAGTTATAATAAGGCGATAGTTTTTAATAGTACTTATAAAATATGTAAAATAGACGAAATATTATAGTAACTTTAAAATACTCAAAAATTATAATATTTCACCTAAAAAAAGTTACAGACAACTGTTGTATGAAGTACATTATGGAGTTACTATAAACAATCACTGTTACATGTAATTGAAGAAAGTTTAAACTTAATATAGGGTGACCATTTTAAAAAAATAAGAAAACGGGACAACTGTTACTCCCCCCCACCGAAAAAAACCTCATTTATATACTTAACACATATGCACACAAATCTCGAGAGTTAAAGTCCAAATTTCTGTCATATAAACGATTATTTTCTTTTTACTTTACCCTTTTTTAGTAAAATAACCTAAATAATAAAATATTTTCTTTTAATTATTATTAAAACAACGTATACACAATGTAAAATTTCAAAACTATTATAATTTTTTAAACAATTAAAAAAATTTCATTTTAATATTACAATTAAAGTATTAAATAATTTTGTATTGTTACATATAATGACTTACATTTTATAACAAGAATCAGGAAAATTATACACTATCAGCTATCTCCATTATTTACGAAAGTTGTAAGCCTTCTTCTACACATTCCACTGTTTTCTCGTACTTTTTGGAAAAATTTATTGAATTTAACAATTTCGGGTGTTTCAAAAGAAATTCATAAAATTGTGAACAAGTTAAGTTTTTAAAGTGTTTTTTGGTAATTATTATCGATCTAAGGGTTTCGATATTAAAATATATGATATAATAAATAATATAGAAATAACGGGATTAAAACGGGAAAAAAAGCGTCCCATTCGAAGTTTGTCTGGACAATGGGACGTGATGATCAAAAAAAGGACAATCCTGTTTTAAACGGGACGTCTGGTCACCCTAACTTAATACCTAATTATTTTATCGTTTTTAATTAAAATAAGGACATTCGGTCTTTTTAACAGAATAACAAAAAACTTTGCTCACAGAATGATTTTCATACTAGGTATTCGCAATCTCACTTCGTTGCTTTCGATTCAAGATAATTATAGATATTAATTACTTTAAAATACATGAACATGATGATTATCAAATGTAGACATTAGCTTGTATGTATTTTTATTTCTTCCTACTAATTGATTAATTTTCTAATCAAATTAAGAACTTAACTATTTTAATTGACTGTTAAAATAACTTAGCTTTTTTTAGTTTATTTTAAAATAAAACATCAAATTCAATTTTTAATTTATTTTGAATTAATCCAGTTATATAATAATATAAATGTCAAATTATTTTTTTGATAAAATAATTTTTTATATAGATAGTACATTTGATAGGTAATCGTCAAATAATTCTGTTTTTTTAGTTTAATCTTAATTTCATCAAAATTGGTTAGAATTTTTGTAATTTCAACATACCTTGTAGTACTATACCATGTGCATCGAGTTTCCAGTAGATTTAGTATATTTTAATTATTGCATTACTTAGTAAAGCGTTTCCGAAAAAAATAAGAACATTGCAAAATCACAATAAATAGTTCAATATCTAAAATCACTTTTTAACAGTCATCGAGCTTCGGTGAACTTAACATACTATAAAATTCAACAAGTACTAATGTTAATTCTTAAAATACAATATTATTTTTAAAGTAATAAATGTACATGTTAAATTATATTATAATTTCAAAAAATGTCGGCAGTTTTATGAATATAGTTTTATTGGAACGCATAAAAAAATTGATAACGAAATCATTAAAATTTCCGAACATGATCTGCTTGAATTTAACAACGACATCATAATCAATAAATTCAACGTTCAGTCACAGAAAATATATAATGATAGGCTTACATAATTATAATAACGTGTACTTTTAATATACTATGAGATACTTCGAGTGACATAATTCCCAACAATTTTTTAAGGTAATATGATATAATTTATTAAAAATATATCCCATTTAATATACAAACATATTTTAAGATGCGTGAATAATCAGATAATGAAGAATGATATCAAACATGTTAATAATTTATAACCGTCAGGATTTGTACTCGTTCATTTCATAGTATTGTTGCCGAAAACATTGAACTCGTATTACATGCGTGTTTTTTTAATAAATAATAGCATGTATATAATTATAACAGCAGTTTGGTATTTGCTACAAATTATACACAGATATAATGTTAAAAAAGTAAAAACGTATATATTATAACTTAACAACTGTACTACATAACGGTAACATTTCTCCATTTATGTACAAGAAGACTGTGTAGAATATCGTTATTCTTAACATGAATATTATATAAAATAAAATTACACTCATGATAAACACTGTTATATAGCGTCATTTATTATACAATATATAGAGTAACAATAATATTAAATTTGCTGTGACTTGATCCGTGAACATACATGTATTTAGTTGGCGAACTTGGTAATAAACGTATTGTGTCTAATAATATTTGAAAAAAATATTTCTCTCAAAACACTGCGCTCTCGTGTATTTTATTTTAAAATATTAAATTAATTGTTCGAGTTTGACTTTTGTAATACTAAATTAATTGTTTGGGCTGCATTTCACTGTGTTACACATTATATCATACATATTTTATACTTACATGAATTAAACACGTGTAGTTAATTATCTTTACTCACGGGATATTATGTACTATATATTAATGGGTTGGAATCAGTGACCTTTTGAGATGGCATTATTATACCTACTGGAAATGTATATGGTGTAGTGTCACTGGAGTAGGTATTTTTTCTGTCATCATTTTATCGACCGAATGATTTCAATTTTTTTTTTTTTTTATACGATTCGGTACACACTAATTATTGGAATACATCACGTTTGAAATATTGGCGGTTCAAAAAATTTGTTATTTTTCGATACAATAAAGTCTAAGCTTACTTTTAGTTTAATTCCGAAGGAATAATCTCACTTTTATCATATATTATTGTGCTCAAAAACTATGTAGCGTGATAACTGTAACCAGGACTGCATATCGTAAACTTCTGTAAACGAATGACCTTTTTATTTTCAACAAAAAGAGTAGTTTGCGATAGTTCATCATTGCGTGCGAATATTATAACGGTCCAATTTTCTATAGTGATGATTCTATACCGAGATAATATATCTTTAATCGTTTTGTACATTCTACTTCCACTTCTACTGTCTAATGTATTATAATTGAAAACTTATTAGTCCCTGAAGATGTTTACACCATTACGCCTCTCTCTATGTACGTTTTTCCCCTCTTGCGGTTTTCCTTATTCATATATTTTATCTCTACTGTCTTCTAGACTGTGAAAAAGCTCTTTGCTTCTATACTTTATAGGTAAACCGAAAAAGATTGGCATTTTTACAGGACTTTGGCAGAAAGATTTCTTAGGTAGTATACCAAGTTTTCATTCCGACTTTGGAACCGTGCTTTTGTGCTGTTTATTTTCGTAATCTTCCACGTTATCACATACAGTTTCCGTTTTAACCTCGCGCATTCTTTCTCTCAAAAAACGTATGTTAGACGGTATTTTCATGCTTCTGTCTGTTTTTTTTTCGATTACACCAAATCGTCAGTGCAATGCTCGCCTGAAGTTTTTTCTTCAGCTTTTCGATCCATGCGGAGTGTTTCACACGCTTGCATAAATTTTAATTTTAAATTGCCAAAGCTAATAGCACTTATGAAATGTAACAGAATGCTTTTCCCTCTACTTTATCTGATGCAGTTGATCGTATTAATATAAAAATACGAAATTCGTATCGTCACGTACAGTTGTCATCGTACAACAACGGTCGATTGAGGATTACGAAATGTTATCGATTTCGCCTCCATATAAACTTTTAACTGTCATAAGTTGTTGGGTTTATTTATCGTAGTTGTCCCCCCCCCCCCCCCCACACACACACACCACCATAGCACAATTAGTAATTTATGTACACGCTGTTATAATGTTATACTAGTCGCGTAGTTCTCGTCGCACCGACGTTGGTTAAAAGCGATGGCCGCGTGTCAATGCCGCAGTCACACGTGCACGTAACAGCTTTATGGCGAGCGCGTAGGTATGTATACGGGTACCAGAACGTTACGCAACTTTACAGAATAATATGATAATAATGTACGACGGGCATCTGTATTCGTCGGGATATCACGTGAAATACGTAGTTTTTAATGTCGAAGTGCAGTAATAAATTACATTCCCGTGAATGCAGGACATTTAAGACAATAATTCGACTGATAAACGGCAAAAGGAACTAAGCAACAAGGCGTATACACTAATATTATAAGATTAGTGACTAAGCGTCTCTTTTTAAGATACAAACGGCACTATGATGAATATTGTGTTCATCGAGCGACAATCATACATGGAGCAAGGTTCCTACTATTATCACTATTCATATTTTATAGTGTTTATACAATTGATACGATTAAAATCGTTAATAAAGCCATTAATTTCGGCAACATTATAATTTTACACTAATCTGTAGATAATATTATCGCAGATTTACTAAGTTTTAC